AAGAGTATGGGTATATAGATTATGGTATGCTAGAAAAGCAAGCAGAGAAGAGCTTAACAAAGAAAAATAAAGAAAAAAAAAAAAATGAGATAGAAGAAAATAATTAACAAAAGAATACAATGAGTGATATAGAAATAAGTGAGAAGTATATGACAGACAAAGAAGAAGTTGATCATGAAAAAAAAAGAAAACTTGAAGTAACCATAGACAGTGAACAAATACAGAAAAAACAAACAAAAAAACAAAGTCATTTGGATAGAATAATGAAAATGCATAAAGATAGCAGATTAGAAGATAATGTCTATACAATGTAGAACATTTCAGTAGAAGTAAGGTCAGCATATATAAGAAAATGTCTTTAGTTTTATGGTAGAATTAGGTTTATTTAGTAGAAAAGTTGTGGTAATATTAAAGCAGCAACATTTGCTGTTGAGTTTAGAAATAAGAACAGAAAAGCAATACTTGATCAGACATGGTCAGTGCATTTTGAAGAAGGCAAAATGTGCAAAGTTATTCCAGATACCTTTGTGAAAGAGATTTTAGAAAATAGAGCATCACATAAGATAATAATTAAAAATGTTTCAACAATAACAATAGAGATACTATTATTAAGACAACTAAAAGCAATAAAGATAAAAGCAGTCTATATTTTAGTAAACAGAAATAAAAATCAACAGAAAACTATATCAGTTTACTTTGAAACAGAAGAGGACTTAAGAATGGCTACTAATAAGAAGCCATACTATTACAACATAAGACTAGAGTGGTGCAATAAAAAGGCATTCAAGAATAGTGAAACCAAAAGAGAAGAGAACAGAGATGTAAAAGAATACTGTATGAATAGAAGTTCACAGTATGCAAGACATATAAAAAGTTAAGAAATCACAGAGAAAGAAGAGAGTAATAAAGAGAACTAGCAAAAAAGAAATAAGCAAGTTAGTTGAAAGTATAATAATAATACACAGACAAAAGCAGTTTATATAAAAAAATCAAAAAGTGAGCTACAAGATGTCTTTAGCAGAATTTTAAGAAGACTAGATGATATTAAAGAAAGACAATTAGGGAGCTTGCTACCAAATCACTCCTAAAAGTTATCATAGGCATTCTTCAAAAGAAAGCAACCACTTTGTCAAATATAGAAGCAAAGAGCATTAGTAAGAAGTTCATGCAAAATGTGAATAAACATGGCAAAGGTGAAAATAGTATAACAAGTATTAAGATAGCATATCACAACATAAATGAAATTAAGTGTAACAAGATCAAGCTAAGAACAATAGTTAAGTGATCAAAAAAAGAAGACATTGATATTCTGGGATTAGTAGAAACAAATAGCAGTAGTAAAGAACTAAAATACAGTTTGGAGAACAATTGCTATAAAGGTTTTTGGTCATAAAATGAAAGTACAAAGAAGAAAAAATCAGGTGTTAGAATATTAGTAAGTCAAAAATAAAAAAAACATATAGGAAAAATATGTATATTTAAGGAATATTTAATTGAAGCAAAGTTTTACTTTAAGCAGATAGAAATAATGATAATAATTGTATACTTCATTCAAGTGACAAAGAAAGAACAAGAAAATTGCAACAAAAAATAGTAAATATGTATATAAAAAGAGCAAGCAATATGCAGTTTATAGTGATGGGTGACTTCAATCATATGGTAAACAGCAAATTAGATAAGATAAGTAGTAGTGAAAATAGTTGTAGCAAATCACTGCCACTACATAAATGGCTGATAAAACAGAGGTTTGAGATACATACAGAATTTGCAACCCAGAATTAAGAAGTTATATATGAACAGAACAAGACATTTAAACAAGAATTGACCAAATATGAGTATCAGAAGATCTACAATTAGAATTAGAACAGGTAGAAATAACTGATGCAGAATTTATAATATCAAGTGATCATAACATTGTTAGTGCAATGTTAATATTCAAATACTTAATTCAAACATATAATATAGGAAAAATGAAGAAAAAAGAATTAACAAGAACAATTTTTCTGTATGATAAGGTAACAAAAGAAAACTGGGAAAATTATCAAGTAGATCTTAAAAGTTATTTATCGAAGAATAAAAGGCTCAAAATATTTAAAGAAGTTGAATATAGCAGTAATATAGACAAAGTATAAGATATAATATCCTGTACAATAAAAGATGCAACAAATAGAAACATATCAAAAAAGAAAATCATTTAAAGAAATAGTAGTAATGAAAGAAAGAAGAAAGCAACAATGCTGCATAAAGGAATAGTAGCACTTAGTAAGCTACTTCAGAAGACTAAGAAGTTGGTTAAGAGAGAAAGAACAGAACTAAATTTAGAGAAAGTCAACATAGAAGTAGATAAGATAAATATAGAATATGGCCTAGAAATAGGTTACATAAAAGAAGGCAAAACAGCAGGCCTTGAAGAATGATAGCAGTTAACAAAAAAGCAGTAACAAGCATTAAGAGTTGCAGAGAAATTAGAAAAAGACAAGTGTATAAGAAATAAAATCAATATTGCAACAAATAGAAGATATGAGAGGATTGATAAAAAAGTAAAAAGAATGCTTACTAGTATTTTAGACAAACCATATAACAAAATCAGAATTAATCGAGTATTAAAACAAGAAAAAGATAGATACTTATTAATTAGTGAACCAAATGCAGTACTAGAGCAGACAAGAGAATATTTTAGTGAGCAGTTCAAACAGAGAGACATAATTGAAGATGAAGAAGTAATAGAAGAGTTTTATAAGCCACTTATAGAAGTCAAAGAAGAATGATATAAGGGACTAAAAGCAGAAATAACAATTGAAGAGTGTATAGAAGCAATAGGAGAAACAAAAAATAAAACAGCATTAGGCATGTCAAATATTAGGTACAGACTTATTAAGAGCATGAGTAATAAAATACAAGAAGTCTTTAGAAAAGTTGCAGATATGTATTTGAGACTAGAAAAGATATCATACAAGTGAAAGCTAGTACAAATATATCTAATCCCAAAAGGTGTGAGTGGTATTATGAGCTTTGTAATATTAGGCCAATTGCACTATTAGAAATATTTAGAAAATGTTTAATCAAGATAGTAGTAAAAGAATGTCTAGTATTACAAAGAAAAAGAGATACTTAAGGACTCAAACTTTGCTGGTCTACTTGAAAACTCAACAGAAGAAGCAATTCACATTGTAGAAATAATAAGAGAAGATGCGAAAAAAAATAATAAAGAGTTGTAGTTGTTAATGCAAAACATAAAAAAAGTATATAATTCAGTATCAATGAAGTCACTTTAGCTAGTATTACAGAGAAATAAATTGCCAATTGAAATAGTAAAATTTATCATAGAGTTATATAGTAGAAGAGAAGTTAGCATTATAATAAAGTTTGGATTGACAAGAACATTTGTTGCTAAAGATGGAATTAAGCAAGGAAAGACAATTTCACTACTAGTTTGAAGGATATTTTATAATCCTTTATTAAGACGAATTCAAGATGATCAGCAACTAGAATATGAAATTAAAGCATACAAGGTACTAGACTTGCAAATGAACAAAGTTAAAATTAGAAAAACAAGACAAGCTGCAATAGCATATGCTGATAATACAACTTGAATAGCAAAGAGTAAAAAAGAGATGCAAAAAATCATCCAGATTTCACAAAGATTCTTTAAATTCAATAATATTCAAATTAATAGTTCTAAGTCAAAGCTGTTGATAATTAACTCAGATGCAGAAAAAGAGGAAAAGGCTGTTTTGATAAATAATTTTTAGCTACAAAGTGAAGATAAGCATACATTAACAAGAAAGCTAGAGGTGTATTTAAGTATAAAAATGAATGAAAGCTTAGTTGTTAAAAAGATAAGAAAAATCATATAACAATTTATACAAAGCATACGATTTAAGAAGTTAATTATTAGTCAGTTTTTTTTTTTTTTCAGTATTAAAGTGACCTCTTTGGTTCGAGCTTTTTATTAATACTTATAGCAGATATATGTTTTATATAGACATATCTATAATGAACTATTAGATGAGTATACAACTAGTTACACGAAAGAATAAAGACAAACTCTTTTCATAAATCATTTTTATACAAAAATAACTAAAAATTCATCAGTACTAAAATCGTTAATATCTGGTTATTTTACTAAGATAACTAACTTTAGCGTCTTAAGTAAACTTGTTCAGCTACTAATTTTACATATATTCTGAAAATTTTAAAGAGATAGCTCTCAAACTCGCAGTTTAATACTGTAATAACAGTCTTTGGGCTTTTAAACTTTTTCTTTAATTATTTCTCGACAACTAGTTTTACAACCCAGTTTATAGTCCTAAGAAAAGTTGTAGAGCTCATTTCTCTGATCAAAACAAGGTCTAAACGAACCTAATAGATCTAATATTAACGGAGATAACTTAAAAAATAGCTTTAACTCTCTTGTAAACTCTTTAAAAAATTCTTTTTCATTTACCCTAATCTTTTTTTCTCTTACACGATTTTTGTGTAACATTAAATCATTACTACAATCGTTTTCATTGTAAACTAATTAATATTACTTAAAATAGTATATAAAGTCTTATTGGTTTTTCTTCTTTTACTAATTTGACTTTGTACACTATTACAAGCCTTTTTGGGATGTGTAACTAAATTGTTACATTAAGCCACACTTGCCATGCCAGCCACACCTTGTACTATATAGGTTACACAAAATTGTTCTCAAGGTTACACAAAGTCGCAGCAACTGCAGTAGCTGCAGTATTATATCATACCCCTGTCAAATCAATCCTTACTACTATAAATTTTATATATTAAAAACTTTAACAATTAATAATAAAAAATTTTACTAAGTAATATTAATTTCTATTCTTAAGTATACCTGTAGTATTTTTTCTTCTCTATCAAACAGAATGCTTACTTTGACCACCCAAGAGCCAGATCATTTTGATCTTGACTATTTTCATAACAAGTACAATGATCGTTATGATATAATGATCTGAGAAATGCAACCTACACAACTTAAAATGATGCCTTTTGTATTTAATCCATCTGAATACAACACTGCTAAATCTCTTCATTACTTTAAAACTCTTACTCAACCTACTATTGTCCACTATTATTGCCAAAAATTCCATATTCTTTTTACTTCTAGTAATCTTAACATTCCATCTAGACAAGCAACTCCTCCTTCTTTTTCTCAAAAATCCACATATATGGATATTGATATTACATCTAAACAAGTTAGACAACTTAAAAAAACTATCCCTCAATCACCAATTACAAAAATAACTACTATTCTTCCATTACCATTTCCTTTGAATTATTCTACAACTCAACAAGGAACTTCATCTAATCTAACACAAACTCCCCAAATCCAAGCACATTCTCATCATGCATATACTTGTATTATTTGTTAAAATAAAAACATCTTATGTGCTTTCCTAAAAAATAATACACACTTACTTCTCGACAAATCGATTCTTATTATTAAAGGATTTCTAGCACATCCTAAATATATTCATAAACTCAAACTCAAACCTATTACTCAAACTAAAGTACTCACTTCTATACAAATCCAAACTGCTCTTGTAATCAAACTTACTATACTATCTAAAGAAGTGAAAATTTTAATTTTCAAAAAATTCTTAGGATTATTAAAACAAAATAAAAACAACAAAATTAACCAAAAACAACAAAATCTATATCAAAAATAATCTATTATCAAAAATCCTCTTAGTTTCAAACTTATACCTCTTATTCCTACTGCAGATGAAACAAGTAACAATGAACAACAATCCTATAGTCAAGCAGCAAGATCTAAACTTAACCCATCATTTGACTGGTTAGCAAACTTCCCAGTTACTGATGAAATGCAAAATCATACAAAATTAGAAACTGAGATATCATGTCAACTTTTTAATTTTCTTAAAGAATACTTATATAATTTTTACTCTAGTAAAGTCCTAAAAGAAGTTACAGAAACTAAATATGCACTTAAAGCTAGTTTCTATTTGTTGATTAGACAAATGACTGGTACCAGACCAAAATTCCTTATTGATCTAATCCAAAAACACAACTCAGAAACAGATAAAGCTGCAACAATTCCTTTCAATATTTTAGAAGAAAGTCTTAAAAAACTTATTCATACATTTACAACAGTTTTCTTCACAAAACTTAATTATTCTGAAATTTTTGCTTCTCCTGCAACTATTCTACCAATTAAAACTGAAAACCGTTTACAATTTTGTCTTAATCTTGCTCGCTTACATTTATATCTTTCCAATAACTACCAAGCAATTAACTATACAAAATTTGTTGAAGATATTAAACTTAGATCTAAAAGATTTAAAATAACATCCGAGGTTATTGATTTTGACAAAGAATAACAATATCTTTCTATCAAAATGGATAACCGATTCAATATCAAACTGAATTTTAATCTTCCAAAATCTCTTTTCCTTGATAAATATAATATACCATCACTTAAAAACTCACTTGATCATTTTAATAAATAGTTTGAAAAGGCCTTTTCATTATATAGTCGACAATTTTCCAATACAATTAACAAAACCAAAGTGTTCAATTATCTTAAATATGAATTTAGACAACATTTTATCTCATATCTAAAAAATCTTCTGCCAACTAATATTGAATTTATAAAACTAACTAATCTTCAAGAATGACATCATGAAACTTTTAGACATGCCAACTATCATATACTTACCTGTACAAACTCTAAATGTTTCTATCTTGAACCAACTGATACAAAAGGGAAAACAAAAGAAGCTAACATTAATTCAAAGAAAACCTTTATACCACAACCAACACACAACTCATCTACACTTATTAAAGATATATTTAAAACATCTTACAAAACTTACCCCAAAGAAGATACTGAAACATGGAATGGACCCTTTCTTGATACATTTATATTCTATATTAAAGGCAAACATGAAGCTACATTTATAAAACCAATTTCTACTTTAACTCTCAATGAATTAGCAACAAAGGCAGAAGAATATACTTGTTTTTTTAATGCTGTCAAAACCAATCCTAAATGACAAGGCTTCTATTTTTATCAATACCTATCCATATATCATAATACTGCTGCTCAAAACCATAATATTGACAAAATAGATAAACCACAAGCTATTGAGTTCCTTACAACAAAACTAATTGATACTGACTTTTTAGTCTGAGTTATTTCATACTTTAATTACATATGAGGCAATTCCCCAAACTACTCTGAAATAACTAAATTCTATAAAGAAAAAGCCTTACCAGAGGCAGAAACAATATTATATAACAAATTCAATATCAAATTTGAAATACCCATTTCAATTGAGGAGTCACTCTTCTTGAAAAATAAAGAAGAGACTCCTTTTCAATAAATTCTTCTGTAGTACTCATAAAAGCAGCCATCACTTTTGGAATTACGATGTCCTCCATTAATAATGGGCCATTTCCAAAAGAGAATGATGTAAATAGACAGGTGGTAAGTCCATTTATGCAGAGAACCAAGTTTATGTCGACCAGACTCAACACACAGAGCAGGTTATGGCACTTTTTACAGCCATGAGAGCTGGGCATACGGTGAGCAAATCTACAGAAGAATCTTCTACTTCCTTGAATTCCACTTCATCATCAAACATCAAGGAAGCATCACAAG